ATTACGTCTTTATTTTATATTGGGGATAAAATATAGATGGTACTTACCATCGACTCGACTCCACGATACTTCTGGTCGTGGAAGTCCATCAGCTCCACACTTTAAGCTCAGAGAGCCTCCTTCTGTGACAGTAACGTCTGTGGGCTCTTCAGTCCAAAATGGAGGTTCTGAAACAAGTATGAAAACGGACTTTTTATGATCAAATCACTGTAAAATAGTTGCTCAAATTCGACCTTTGATTAAAAGAAAGCCGGTTTAGTTAAATTCCTTCAGTTTTCGAGATTATACTTTATCACTAAAGTAATTAAAAATAGGATACTTAAGATATGCACATATCATATTCCCATTCCTGTTCATGTGACGAGCTTGTTTTTTAATTATCATGTAAACATATGCAAGGACTATTTAATAACAGGAGACCGTAATTTGGAACTGATAACCTAGGCCCTAGAGGGAAGGTAGCTAAACAGTAGCATCCACCGCCAACTCTTGTCTGATCTGATAATGGTATATGATCATTACTTTTATAGTACACTCACAGTCCCAGAGTTACTGCGGCAACGGTACTGAATTATGAATCCTCGGATTAATAGATCGTGCACGCTAAACACTAGGCTACGCCTGGCCTTGTGATAAACTATTCTCTGCAATAGTGCAAATATATGTATGCATATATATATATATATAGTATTGAAAGTAATTGTATAATCGCATAGGTAATACAAATATATGGTCAATAACAATGAATCCAATCAACTAAAACATTAATTTACCCTAAGTACAGTACATTATTACAGAAAACATACTTATGAAAAGCGAATAAGTTGTAGAATACAATAAACTTTTTTTTTGCTTTAAATAAGGCAATGCAAATTGTGTGTTTACTACCACAAGTTTACAAATGCATTATATTATATAATCCTCCATAATTTGACCAAGTTGTTTGGTTACAATTTGACCTTCTTAATCTAGATACAAGCTCATATAGCCTTAATGATATTCGTATGGGAACTTTATGCAGGCCAGCCATATTGTGAGTATTCCATTTGCATCTTTTTCTTTGAGATTTTCAAGTATTGTTCCATCACATTTCCTAAATTCTTGATATTATTATTTTGCTGGAAGATGACTCCATGTCAAATATGTCTTGTTTCTGAAGGAATGACATGATCAAAAATAATATTATTGCACCTGTCAACGCTCAGAATGTCATCTATTTTGTGTAAGTATGTAAAACAACTGACTAAGGTGCAACTTTCCACTAACACTTATACTTCTCCTTAATAGGCTTCACTGTACATGTTCTCTTTTCCTCCATCGAACTAACTGTCTTTCATTTGTGCCCAAAAATTCGATATTGTACTCATCTGTAAATATATTTATCTTTACTAGTTCCACTGGTTGTGGTCTGATGCCCATTTCAACCATTTGGTTTGGTTGCCTGTTCTCAGCAACTATTTTCGAGCAGCTACACTTCCATTGAGACCATCTTGTACTATTGTGAGTCTCACTGTTGTCAAGGTAACATCACTCTTATATATACCCCAAGATATGTATTTGACCATACCCTGAGATATTCATCAAGATCGTTTACAAGATCTTTATTTGACTATCGTCTATCTCGTGAGGACCACACCCTAAGATATTGAATACCACTTTTGGGAAGTTTGTTTCGGATTTTTACGTCGATCACTTCTATTATTAACAGTGGCAATTTCATATACCTTTTTTGGAAATTGTGCCTCAATTTTTCGCATGAACTGTCTTTGACTGGTGAAAACTTTGTTTTCTACATATTTGTCATTTGGCATTTCAGTCTTTGGAGCTATTACTAGAACACGAAACTACTTCTGAGCATGGTGTGGCTGTCTAGTTTTATAGGCTTTATACTTGTATGGCACTTTCTGATTATCTGGATGACAATCCATCGCAGTGTATAGATAGAACACGTAATTAACATAGGCTTTAAAGGGTATAAATAACTTTCTCTACTCTAACTTTACATACACAAGCATTAATCGTATCGTGGAGATTTAAAATTATTTCCTGAAGTTCTCTGGTAAATTTTCTTGAGTTGTCTTTTCGCTCTTAAAAAAAATATCATCTTTGGTTTGTTCTCTTCATAAACCCACTTTCAAATGTTGCCATTGGGAAGATTCACCTTAGCAAGGTCACTTTAAATAAATCAGTAAATTAGAACGAAAATAAATCACCCAGTTCCAGGAGAGATTATATACTCACGGTCTGTGCTAGTGTTCTGTGGACATCTAGGCAAAACTGGTCAGTTACATATTTCAATATTTATTTTATTAGTTATTTTCAGCATTAGATAGATTTAATATAAAACATTAAATTTCTTACGCAGTAGAAACTACATTGGCTAAATGTCACAGACATGGTACATAAAGCTTTAAATGTGATAGTTCCGCTTTAGTGCTTAGTAATTCTTGGGACAAAGGGCAGAATGGTTATAGAGTATTTTTGTGATTTTCTGTCACCCATAATTAAGACTCATTATTATTAATTATATTTTTATTGAAGATTTTTAGTAACTCTTCCCGGACAAGTTATTATATAAGCTATTAACACGCGATTGTGGTCTGACATAGTTCATTTTTACATAATAAATTGGTGACATTCCTGTAGTAGTTTCTTTTTATACCATTTTCCTCATCGTTTCCATCATTACTTCCAATACTGTATAAATGACTAGCGTTCGTAAGTCTTGATTTTTACCTGTTTAACATTATTTGAAGTATCATTATATTCTATCTGATTTTACTGTCATGATAATTATTGAAAGTAAAGGCTTAAATTTTGACTTTAGGAAACAGTATTAATCGTGCTGTCCCATTAAGCCTCCAAACTTTTGAAATGTCACAAAAACAGAGATTATAACAATAAGGCTATAACAAAAAGAAATATATTAAATATATCATACTGTAACATACAAATAAAGACGATCAGAATGAAATTTATTTGAAATAATTATAAAATTAATCTTTCAACATATTAGTTTATACAGAAATTATGAAGCTGTAAGTAATTTCAAAATATTTAGAAACCTCCAGAATATTCATTGGATTTAATAACTTGTTAAAACACATTATCATCAAACTGTTATTATGTGTTTTATTTTTATTTTCGATATTTAGAAACGAGGAGTATCAATATAGAACACTTGCAAGTCTAAATGTGCTGAATTCTTGATAAATGATGTTGATTGACCAAACTTACCTGTAACATGTAACGTAGCAGTAAAAGAATCTTTTCCCGAAGAAGATTCGGCCACACAAGAATAGTTTCCTGTATTATCTCTGGATGTTGGGTCCACCACTAAAACTGAATATTGAGACTTGTCTTCTACAGAAACATTAGGAATTTGAGAAACACTTTTGCCTTCTTTGGTCCAGTAAAACCGGACTTTTTCTCCAGTAGACGTTACCGAACAAACTGCAACTACTCGGTCTCCAACTTTGACTTTATCAGGAAACCAAACTGGTTGAACTTTCAGTGGTTCTGACCAAAGAGTCAAAATTTTAATTTATAATATTAAATTCTGAACTATCCTAAAACGGAATAGCTCTTATCTAATCATCAATTCATTCCTAAACTATGAGTTATTATACTTAAGAGAACAAGGGGTCGTAAATGAATGTAATTGTAACTTCTGAAAACTGAGATGCAATATTTCTATTGCGTTTTCTCAAGAAAAAATATATAGATAAATACTCTTAGGTTAGGTTGCATAATTTATGTATAGTATTGAATTATACCCAAAATATGAAAATTCCTAAACGAGTAAACCATATAACAAAATATGGTCTTATCCATGATATTTCATTATAGATAACAATAGATGATTTTTGTAACTGTCAAATGACTAATGAAAGAAAGTGTAACTTGTAAAATCTTACCTCCTAATTTGGCGACGTTTACCACAAGCGTAAGATGTAGCAAAGCACAAATCGTCGTCCATGTTGAAATAGGATACATATTATTATTCAATTCCGTTTTCCAGCTGAAGTAATAGTATCTTCGTTTAAACCACGACTTATATGGAGTAATACGCCGAGCTAAACAAATTTTATATGTATGACGAGTACCACAAAAACAACAGATAAATACACTTCTTTTCAGGTAGTCATCAATGGATACTAGATGTGTTTCCAAGTATCTCAATAGCAGTAATGGTGGCCAAACCTCTCTTTAACAAAGGCGTTATCTGAGTTATTAGATGAAACGACACCCAGCGGTAGACACTGAAACTTATTATTATATTTAACTCTTAACAAACATGTTCAAAATTATTATTCCAAGTATTCAAATTGAATATCACTAGTATTCTTTATTTTGAAGGCATTTTAAAATTTTATAATATTTTTTTCTTCATAATCTTGGTTAACTATATTGAATGTAAAAATGGGTAACAATATCAAGAATTAGTATGACTTTCATGTTTCAAACATTGGTAACATTTAGAGCTGAATGATTGGATTCTTTGCAAAACCGAAACAGAAATATTTCGTTGAGTTACACTGTGAATGAGTTAGGTTTTTCATGGTAAACATAAACAAAGCAAAATAAATGTACAAACGTCGGCAACACCTTGTACCTATCCAATTTAATGTATCCATTTTATGTTATTAGGAACTGCATTGGCATAGATTCCTAACTAAATAAGAAATCTGTTGTTTGTTTTTTTGGTACAAAAATGTCATCTGTAGAACGAAAATTATTAAAAATTTTCTAGATCCTTTGCAAATTTCAATCCTAAAAGTAACTGGATTTTTCAAATCATATGGTTTGACAACATGAGGTCGGCGTCAAGCGTTTTGATATGTAAATTCAAAATCAATTGTTATAGTAGACTTTCAAAGTATTGTTTAAGCTTGGTAGACATGCCTTAATCTTTTTGCACTTTCGTAACTTAGTAGAGATCACTAACACACACACACACATTTGAGAAAAGACTGTTTTATTTTATTATAAAAGCCTACCTAACACATTTATATTAATTTCCTTTTTCAATGAGTTTCCAACATCATTGGACACTGTGCAGACATACTGTCCTCTTTCTTGTTTCTTTATTCTGTTAAGAATTAAATTACTCTTTCCCTTGACACCAGGAACAACTGTGTTGTAGACAACACCATCTGAGAAAGTTGTATAAATATATATAACTACTTGTTTCAAATAATAATATAATTATTTAGACAAAGCTCAATTTTTAAGGGTATCACGAGTTTTTAAGTCACCTTTATTGTATAATACAGAATTAATACTGAGAAAGATATGTGGTATGTTCGGTATATAGTAGAAAAAATCTTAAATAAGTACAAACAGAAACGCAATTTATTCAAAGAATTAGAACATAATATTGTATACCAAATGAAACGATGAATCTTTATGAAAATCCGAAGATAAAAAAGAATCAGTTTCTAATTTTAAAAAAACTCCTACATCAAACTTGCATGATATGGTTTTAAAGGAAAAAATAAAATATATGATTGTTACTAGATCTTTTACTTACCGGGCGAATACAACCATGTTATGATGGGTAAAGGAGTCCCTCCAGCTTCACACACGATATTAACATTTTCGCCAACTGGAAGTAACATGTCTTGAGGCTTTTGTATCCAGTATGGTGGAACTGAAGAGTGAAAGTAAAACAGAGTGTCAGGCTTATATGTTTTTATGTATATTATGAGAGTTACTTCGTTAAACAATTTTTTAACTTGAAAAGAAACGGAAACGAATTAACTAATATGAAGCGTTAACATCACTGTATAAAAAATAGTGGTACCAGTTACGTTTCTTTCCAAAAATTAAAGTTGTGTAAGATATGATTAGAGGATTCATGTATATTAACTTTTCGGAATAATTATACCAATGTTATTATATTGCTCTTTGACTTCTTTAAAAGGAAAGAAATAATTATAACTTCGAAGATTCATCAATGTTTACGAATAAAATTGCGGCAAATATTCAAATTCCTGTTATAGATATAATTGTTAAAGTCTGATAATCTGCTACCTAAAACATTCTTGGTTTTATATCGTTTAAAAAAGTTTCATTAAAATGGATATAAAGTTCTTAGAATATTAATAAACGAACAACTTAATCGTAAAATATGCATTTTACGTAAAGCAGCACTTGAAATTTAGTATCAGTATACTCTACCTTAACTAACACTTTACACCACAATTACTTTGAGAGTTGCTTAGCTGAGGTTCAGTTATCTCCCAATAAGAGTATTGGTATATAAGTATATTTTATTTACTGTTAGTGTTGTTTACACGTAGTGATACATGTTATATGCATTACATACTGAAATTAGTCATAAAGAAAATTTTTAAATGTTAAAATATTTATGTTTGCTGATTGTGACTACAGTTTGGCCTTTTCTTCGCGTTATAATACTGATGCCTATATACTTGTCGGAAAATTAAATTTTCAAGCTAATAACTATTTCAAAATGTCAAGCAAGACATAATCCAATGCATGATGGTAAAAACCTAAATCCCGAGTGCCTGTAATTCTGTCATCATCATTTGTAAATATTTTCAGTTTTTTAATATGTTTAATAGTTTTTAAGACTTAAAAATGACTAAGCTATTTCGAGAAAAAATATTTAATCATTCCAAATTTTTCCTTTCAACATTTTCAAAAACTAAAGTACTTTACGAAATATGCTAAAGTTGTTTTTATCTTTTAAAAAATTGGTTATATGCCCCAGTTAGCACTAAACAAGATATCAAAGATATTCTATAAACTTAAAGCAGTTTTATCATAAAAATGTTCACAACATATTGAGAATTTAAAACAAATTTTTAATTATCACCTTTAAATATTGCTGAAATGAAACTTTTCAAATTATATGGTAAGGGTTAAACTCGCTGCATTTTACAATAAAAGTATATATGAAATTCATTCGTACTTGGATTACCAAAAATCAATTAAACTTCAAACATTTCATTTTTACATTGGACAATGATTTCTAACGAAATCAGAAAATATTCTATACTTAGTGAGAATTTGTTAATCAACACTTCATTCAGGTTCAAAGTTTTCTGAAACGTATTATCTATTTATCTAATAAAATTGAAATATATTGCTCTACATGCAAATACGTGATTAACTTTAGATTCTTAGTGTAAGCGTAATTACTATGTTTTCATGTTTCACTGACCTTTTACTTCTAGAACAGAAGTATGAGTATCCTGTCCGACTATATTAGAAACTTCACATGTGTAGTTACCAGACGACTGATTATTCGCATTTTCAATTACAATCATTGAAAGATCGCCATAGCTTCGGATTTCCATCGCTGGTGAAGAAGTTATTCTTTTACCATTTTTGAGCCAATTAAATTCTAAAGGTGGATGGCCACTTGCAACGGAGCAAGTGACTGTAATTTTCTTTCCAGAAGTAACATCTTTTGGAAATGTAAATGGTTGAATTATTGGCTTTCCTAAAATAAAAAATGAAGGTTCTGTATCTTTGAAAATGCCAAATAATATATTTACATTGGAAATTGTATGATGGATTTAATAATATTTTAATAGCTTGCTCTTTCATACTATAAAAAATGAGCTTTTGTATGACGTATTTGTTTGAGGGTATCTGATAAATGAATTAACCTACTGTATGTTTTGTTAATTGCAGTTCACTTTTGTTCTCACTGTGAAAATACTATGGTATTTTTTTAAAAACATTTATAGTGTGTAAATACCAAAAACAACTTTCGTAAAGATGCTTTAAGATAAGGAATGGTTTGTTGTTTACGTTAATTTATAAGGCGTCATCATCATAGAAATAAAAACATATCTCTATGTGTGTGTGTGTGTGTGTGAGCGTATTGAATATTTTTTTTAAACACTATTTTTCATGTTATATGATCGTCACTAGTTGAACATTTAACAACAAATGTTCTGGGAGCATTTGAAATATTGCTTTATCCTCAACTACTTAATTAAAGTAAATTTAAAGTATGTTTTCAGTCTCAACACTATCAAATATTGTTTGTACGTTCCCTATTTGATCAAAGTTAAATTTTATAATGTAATGGTCTAGGACGATTTAATCTTAATACTGCACATTAAAATTATAGCGCTACAAACGTGCGCTTTCAGAAAAATCAAAAATATAATTACTTATTAACTTAAAACCCAAACAAAACAGACAGTAAAAGCACTTACCTACAATGATCTCTGTAGGAGATGAAATCTCAGAAAATAGCAGAACGTTAATCGTCACAGCCCAAAATGGCGACATGATTCCAAATAGATACAAGATAGACAGCGGAATGGAACACAACATAAAACTCAATGTTGAGAATTCCAAATTTGTATGTTATTATATGATTCCTGAGAAAAGCAGAGGAGACTTTAAAAAACCCAAAAAACTTTGAATGCAGTACAACTTAGAGGCTTAGGATAGGTTTTCTTCAGAACCTCACCGACACATAAAATGCATATGACGTTTGAGATAAAAATGACACCTCAAGCTTTTGTATAATGTACTTATAGTGTATCTTTGTCCCTAATATGCCAGGAAAACGCCATCTAGTGTCATTCAACAAAATACACAGATATTTACTTAGAACTTTTTAATCTCAAGAGCTAAATGACCAGTATTAAGTAATAATATATGTACTATATCACATCTAAATGAGATTTAAAATAACTCAAATTACATTCTTTATTGGCCCAATACAGTTTTATAACAACAAAGAGTATATAATATCATTCCAAATACACTTTGTTTGTGGTATTCTGTTGCCGACTAGGCCTATTCTTCAATATCAAAGTTCATCATAAGCTAAATAACTAATATAACTGAAATATGATTGATAAGTAACTAATATAACTGAAACGTGATTGAATAAATGACGAATAAACAAGTAATTTATCATAAAAAAGTCTTAATAACAACAAATACGTAAACCAATAACATTTAGTTTGTCTGAAATACCACTTAAAAAGCCAATATTTCTATCATTGTCTCATTTCATGTAAGCTAACTTCATTTCGACTCATAAGGACATAAACTGGAAGGAACGAATACGAAGCATGTTATTTAACTTTACATGACCAAATTATTTGTAATTTGCTTATAATATTATGTAGGTACAAATAATCCGAGATAGCAAAAGCACAATTTATAAAACGGTTATTTTCAGAAAGCAATAAGGACCACATATAAAAGTATATTTGGGGAATAAATGAGAAGGATAACACCATTCAAGTCGTTTCGCAGCTCAGGAAATTCTTATTGTGCACGAAGAAATTTTAGGTGATTCACTATTACGTGAAAGTGTGTTAGAGCAGGTTATCATCTGATTGACACAATCAAGTGTACAATTTACGTAAGAGACGTCTTGGTCCAAGAATGATGTGTTGCAACAACTGATTTGCTAATCCGTTTGAATGAACTGAGAAGCATTTGTCACAGAACTACTTGTGAACAAATTGTGGATATGTTGGTATTTTTGCAACCAGCTCTTATCTCATATTTACAGAGATTCACCCAGAAAAGAGACATCTATTAAAACCTTTCTTAGAGATTAGTGAGTACTTAGCTTTTTCACAAAATCATTCCTATTTAAAATAAGTGTCACGAATAGCAAACAAATCCAACTGGAGCCTGATAAAATTTGAACTGACAGATACATGACTAAAATCGCTTTAAGGAAAAGTAAAATATATGTCTAACATATCGGACGAACAGTAATCTCCGTTAAAGTTCTTTTGTCTAAAAGTGCAGACTAAAATATATTTTGTCTTAATTGGTGTAGTGTTATAGTTAAATATTTAGATAGTAAAAAAAAAGGCATTTTTTGCAATTTTTCAGTGAAAAATGTTCCCATTTTATAGAAATTTTGAGTCTTGAAAATAATTACACAGTAATGAAAAAAGCGCAATCGAACTTAAACTTGTAAACTGTCAAATGGCAAAAACATACTACTATCTCAACCATTTTTCCTAACACAGCTGATTTGGTTTGGTAATTTCAATTCAAATGAAATGAAACTCAACCTTCATAGTTTTTATTCGTTAAGCCGTACATATTCTTACCCTTGACAGATAAGTATATCATTTTCTTTAAGTTCGAACCTACTCCGTTTTCTGCTTGACAAGTGTAATAACCTTCCATGGAGGCCCGGGTGTTGGAAATTATAAGATCTCCATTTTCAGAAGTAGCAAAAGTAGAATCAGAGAAGTTTAAAATATTTCCTGCAAAGAAAAATATCTGATTTGCAAAAACATCAAACGTGTAAATTATATTTAAATAATCATTGTGTAGTTGAATTAGGCTCACAGAGATCGAACCCGGTGGATCATAACAATAGGTAGCAGCTAAATCACAATATTAGCAATTACCAAATGACTATTTGTTTTTATTTCTTTTACATTAAAAGTAGTTATATATTTTCTTTGAAAGATAATTTAAAATATCTCTCCTAATTAACTTAAATCGACAATTAAACGCAAAGTTTTCGGTTATTCGTGCAACTAGGCGCACGAATGAGAAATTGTGGAAATAAGAAACATTTCCAGGGTTATTGTGAATTCAAATTTTTTACCATAATTTTAACAGTATGTCTGTAGTCTGTGTTTGGAATTTCTAAGTTAAAGTATTATGCCGAAAGAACGATGTGGTTTCTTCAATCTCAGGGAAAGTAGGTTGCAGTAATATCAGCACTAATATCGAGACTGATGATTGAAAAAAAATTAACCAGTAGAAGGAAAGAGGGAAAATTGTTCACAGAATTGGAAAGACACATATTAGAACTTTGATCTTTCTTCCAAACTATCCAATATCCGACAAAATATCAAATTCCTCAGTATTGCATCTGTTGCACGAATACTGACGTTAACAAACAATCGAACTTGTATTTTTTCAAATTTTATCTACTTACTAAACAATCTGACGTTCCTATGAATGCACTCCCTTGCAACAGTGTATAAAGTGCATTCAAAATTGTTTTCATGACAATATAGAAAATATATCTAATCCTTCGAGAAGCATGCATCAGTAATAAGTTGTCTTAAACAGTACCCTTTCTTCACCTTGTAATTTTTCCTACATTTACTTAGAGAACTAATTTTGCAGTTCAAGGTATCTTAATACATGTAGTATAAGGGAAATAAACACGCTTTCCATGTCATATTTACCTGCGTTATATGCAGGGCTTTAATACATAGAGGTGTAGAGACAAAATCAACAAAGACATGATATAATAAATTCCTCTCCATGCGCATAATTTGCATTGCATTTTTATTTTTAGTTTCTCTTAATATCCGAACAAAATCATTAGAACATTTTCTGCAGTCCATTTCTTTTCTCTAAATGTTGATTAATTTGAGATATTGTAAGTTCGGATCTTAACTACTTTATTAATTTGATTTTGTTTTCACTTTTGTTGTCCTTTATAATTAATATTGGTTCACAATGATCTGTTTGTTTAACACAGATTGGCAACTTCCCTATAAATATTTGAAATTACGAACATTTCTCAAAAATACTACATTGTATACTAATATTCTCACTTCTTTATTAGCATTTTTAAAACTAAAACTTACAAAAAACTCTCACCGTGTTTGTTTTCCCACTTTATCTGTGGTTTTGGGAAGCCTCGGGCTTTGCATTCGATTTTAATATATCTTCCTTCTTCCACTGTAATGTCAGTAGGTTCTTTCTCCCACGCTGGAGCCACTAATACGAACGAAAAAAAATGGCTTAGCACACATACACTATTAATCTATATAATTTAGTGAACATAGCCTTTGTTAGGAATCAACCTGACTTTCATAAAATACATGACACCTAAATCAGGTGTTAAAACGATTTTTCAATAAGTTTTGATGTTGTCTGATTTCTTTACGAAAAAAGGGGTTGAGAAACACTGGCGTAAAGCACCCGTCGTATTTTAACCCAAAATACTAGATGCCAGCTTCATAGTATATATTTTCATAAAGGCAGAATCAGTCTATCGTTTGTAAGCTTGGTTTTAACCATACCATTTAGCGTAAGGTTTATTGTGCTTTTTTTGTAAGTTTAAGTGATTTTTTAATGCTCAAGTCACTTTTGCAAAATGTGGCGGGCGTAGACCCGTGGTTACCGTGCTTGGACTTTTAATCCAAGACTGTTATTCGCTTTCCATTACTTTATAATCATGTTCCGCAATTTGAGGTTATAAAAGTTACGGTCAGATTCCGCTATTCGATTACAGCAGCCCAAAAACTGGCAGTGGGTGCTGTTGAATAACTGCCTTTCCCCTAGTCTATCAGCTCAAAATTAGAAAAGGCACAAGTATCCCCAAGCAGCTTTGAGCGAAGATAGGAAACAAATACTACGCGAGATCTTCACAGTAAAAATGTTCATGAAAATGGAAATGGTCTAAAATGTTTAAGCTCGGCTTAACCCTACTCTTATGTGTAAGATTTCTAACGTTTTGTAAGTTTATGTAATCACATATTGCTCTAAACACACTTGCATAGTTAAAAGTCTCAATATCTCATTATAATGTATTAGATAATTTAATAAGTATTTCCAAATAATTGTAGCTCTTTGATTTTAGTCTATATTTCCTTCGTTTGTAACGAACACGTGTTTGGATTAGGATTCCAGAGGCTTTAGTCATCGTGCAGTTTCACTTGTTGCCATTCTTAGTGTATATAAGAGACATTAGTACAAAATGAAAGTAGCTTTGGTGTATTAGTCTGATTGTATTAGTTCTATAGATATCTTGTTATTATTGCAAGTTACTACTTCAACGATTATTGAAAAAATTATACTTACATGAGAGACAACATTTTTGTAATATTTTGTCATTAAGAAAAGAGATTATACTACTAGAAATTGATTAATCTGTGTTTCTTTAAAATAATTATGTATTTCCATCTATAATCAACCAACTGCCTTATTTCAAGATGTGACGTGAGAGAAGTCAGCACATACGAGTCTTTATTTTATCTGCAGATCCGTGTTAATGAGTTATATAATATCAAAGTGTTTAACTTCAGTGCAGTTACGTGAACGTTCAACTATTTGTGGATAATATCTTCTCCTGTCAGAGATGAATCTTTCTATAAATGGTTATATAATCGTACACGTAAAAAGACTTGAATTTCCTTCTCAGTGGCTAATGGTAAATCTGAGGGCTTATGACACTTAAGATAGGGTTTCAATACCCGTTGTAAACACATTACAGATAGCTCATTATGTACCTTTGTCTTTAAAAGCAAAGACTTGAGTTTTCTAAAAATTTTACGACTGGCTTTATTAATTATTCTTGAGTAAATCTCTATTATATTCACACTTTTTGCTAAGAACTACTATAACTTTCTTGGAAAAGTTTGCCATTATTCGGTGATATCTTACTCTTTTCAAAAATTAATTGAAGGTGTGCTTTATCATAAATGACTTTCTCGTAGGATTAGCTTTGAAACATTACATGTACTTACTTGTTCACAGAAAGTAATATTATCTTCTTAATACATATCTAGGAAAAATAATGATTACTAAATATTAAGGTTTTATTTCAATAAAACGTAAATATAATATAGAAAAATTGTATTCTTACGTTCTTGATAATCAAAGGCTCTTAGTGATACAGGTTTATCGAAAGGTTGGTTATTAATAATACTAAAAAGGGCGTTAAGATAATACACATCAGCATAAGTATTTAATTTTACACTCTGAATTTGAAATGGCATTCACTCCAACTTACTTGTTACGACAAGAGACGTAGTGTGACTATCTGATCCATGTGAGTTAGACACAATACAGGTGTAGTTTCCATTGTTTTGCAATGTGACAGATTGTACGATAAAAAGTGAAGTGTCGGCAGTAGTTCGAACATCGACACCAGGAAATGGTCTTATAAACTCGTGACCATCTTTAAGCCATTTGAAATTGAATGGTCCATCTCCTGATCGGATGGTGCACAGCACACTTCCTCGTTCTCCTACTTTTAGCCTGGATTGGAATTTGAAGGGAGCAATAACAGGTTCTAGATAAACAAACCGTGAAAAAGTTAAAAATTAATATAATAAATAACAGACACTTTTTATATACTGCAATAATATAAATAGTCTACAACCGAGCAAAAAACAGGATATCTCTCAGAATTAAATTAAAACGGTCACACTTCATTTCTAATTCACAGTCTGTATTCGTAGATACCAACTCTGACTGAAATAATATATATGGAAAAGCTACAACCTACACAGTTTTTAAATTGGAAAACGTTAAAAATTACAAATAAATCTATGTCTACTATAACGTAAAATATTACAAACTATAGATAGCTTGTTCATGCTATTCTTTAAGCAAGTATATATACATACTACAAGATTTGAAGGATAACTGAAAATCTAACAACACTTGATACCTATTTACAATTTAATATATATTATTTTAATTATAGTAATACTTACCATTAGCGTCAGAACCACCAAGATGAAACGCCATTACGACCAATACTGCTTGCAGGAGAGGCCAGATGGTCGCCATGACACTCGTAGTCGTATATACTCTGCCTCTTTTCTTAATTCGTAAAAACCCGCAACGAACGCGATGAAAAGAAACAGATTAATTAAAAAAGCTGATGCAATAATGATTGAAGTCTTCAGAAAATAAATTCCTGAAAAATAGTCAATGAGTTATGAATCCAATATGTCCTCTGTTGCTTTCAGCATTTTCTCGTTACCTCTTACGGTGGATGAGCCATTGGCAACAAAGAATAATATACAACATAGTTAAGATATATTTAGGCGATTTCAGCGCCACACTACGCTTAAACATAATACTAGATAAATAATCCATTTATTTATTTTTTACGGTTACCTTTAACAATAAGTTGGACAACTTTCCGGAGATTTTCCCCAACTCCATTGTTGGCTTCACATAAGTAATACCCTTCGTGGCCTTTTGTAATGTTCCTAAATTTCAGAACGTTCTCCCCTTTCTCTTGACTCAACATCTTAACGTTTATGCCTACAAATGATACAAAATAATCAGTTAATGTTTAACTTGAATTCGTTAACCCTATAGACATACTGATGTTGAAAGAACGCTTCTCGTTACCTAGATAAACCTCATCATTAATGAATCACTTTTTCTTTGAAATAATTTGGTTTGGTTTCTTTGAAAATAAGCACAAAGCTACACAACGGGCTATCTGTGATCTTCTTATCACGGGTATCGAAACCCGGTTTCTAGCGTTATAAGTCCGTAAACATACCGTTGTACCACTGAAATAACTTATAGTTTTTTTTCAATAAAAATCATTAGATATAAATATAAAGTATAAAGCATGGAAATGTTCAAAGTAATTTTACCTGTTTTGACTGATAAGTGGCGCTATGTATGATAGTGGTAAGTATTAAAAGATATGCTTCCTATGAAGTTCTTTACAATGCTGAGATTTCCAATAAATAAGTAATAAAACATAAATAACAACATTTTCATAATTCTTATAAAATGTTCTTTAATTTTATTTCTGTTTAAGGTTGATTTATCGCAAAATTCGCATATTATTGAAAGTCATACTCAATTGTTCATTCAAAATTGTTTCCAGTTTATGGCATTTATGTTTTCAAGTGCCCCCCCCCCCCAGTGGCACAGCAGTATGTCTGCGGACTTACAACGCTGGAATCCGGGTTTCGATACCTATGGTGATCAGATCACAGATAGTCCATTGTGTAGCTTTGTGCTTAATTTCAAACAAACAAATTTTCAAGTGTTTATTTTCATATTTGACTTTTTTTTCTTCTTTTGTTTATTATCGTTTATTGTGCGCTATTAATAATCAGAAATATAGAGTTTAAAATGTACGACTATATAGAAACGTGAAGCAAATAACAGCATATCTATTATTAATTAAATTATAAATAAAATTATAAAAATAATAATAATAATTATGGATTATTAATCATTTTGATCAGTAGAGTTATGAAGGTTAATAAAGTTTAACCCTAATGTATATGATTTTTTCATAGGTTGAGATAGGTTGAGAGCAGATGTTTTATATAAAAAAGGTTCACTGTATTGATATTTTCTCGTAAAATATATCAATTTCATCACTGAAAATACAGCGAATAAAGCATTCACATTACCTGATTGGCTCCAAGTAACCTTTGGTGTTGGTATACCATCAGCTTCACAGTTGAATATTACGTCTGTTCCTATAGTAGCCTCAAGATCAGAGGGTTTCCTCTTCCAGTATGCGGGAACTAGAATAAATGAAGATTGGATGAACGTATATAAAAAAAAGTAGAGAATACTTACTACGGTTTAATTCGTTATAGTCAAGGTGGTAAAGAAAGAGAAACGATAGGAGATAACTGTAACTCTGTACTGATAATCGCTCCTTAAGTATATAGAAATTGATCCTATTTATACACATTATAGAGAAATAGGTGGGTTAAAGTTAACAGTTAAGGTCACCACTTGAAACACATTTAATCTAATATTTAGAGCTTTGATTATTCAGTTCAGTTTTGGAGGTGAGTTACCCCTTAAAAACAAGTTACTTTAAATCTATTCATCAGCTAATTACAAGGGAAGAATGAAACCTTTGACTTGAAGAAAAGAGGTGAATGAATCAGTTCCAGTCGAACTTGTAACAATGCAGGTGTAGTTCCCATTTGTTGAAGCGTCAACGTTTTTTATAACGAGGAATGACATATCTGAGTAGGTGCGGACGGACACACTTTGTGATGCGGTTAGTTGTTGTCCATCTTTAAGCCAACTGAACTGGAGTGGAGACCCTTCGGACAAAGTTGTACAAGTTGCGCTTGCCTTATCGCCTTCTCTCAATTCTTTAGGAAAGATAAATGGCTGGATAGCGGGTTTTTCTGTATTAAAAGCAGTATATATATATATATATGTATATGTAGAAAAAAATAGGCATAACAAAAAAAATCCTCTCTTCAACTGAATACACGGCCTGTTTATGATAAATTTAGTAATTATTGTGTGTTACATAATATATATGTTGTTAAATTTTCGTTTGGGAATCTGGACTTTAACTTATACAAGTAGAATTAAGTTCAGCTTTAATATTTGGTTTTCTTATCATAATTGATCTAAAATATATTGTGCTTTACTTACTTTATGTTTGATGTAATAGAATGAGTAAAATACTACCAGGGAAAAAACCATTTGTTAATTTATTGTATTTAGGTGTTATATATATGGTGAGTGCAGTCTGGGTTATATCATTTAAAACATACGTAATTAAACTACATTGTTTTCAAGTTATGTCAGTCACATATTGTTAAGGTAAAGAGAATCACTTGAAGAAGTGAATTACCAACACCAGAAAACATAAATACATGGGTGTATAAATTTTAATCATATACTTTTATATATTGCACAATGAGAGAATGCATAAATATTTAGACATACAAAAGTTTAATAGCATGTACGAAAATACTGTATAATGAGGCAAAACATAGATATATAGGTAAGAAAAAAATATAACACAAATCAAACCTCTTAATTAAGCTCAAAAATCATATAGAGGTGAATAACTAGGATGATTTCTTAAGGCATTTCCAGCTTTGTAAAATGATTTTTAAGTATTTGTTCAAAATTTATGTCGAATATCTTAATTCAAAGCACGTGTTGTAATTTTGTCAAGTATGGTTAGCCAATTAGAAGAGTGCACGTGTGATAAACTACCCATATTCATAGCATATGAAATATATAAAAAGTTGTTAATTGTGCGATTAAGTAGCAGTGTGTCACAAATACAGGGTGAGTATAGCTCTTATAGTGCACATTTATTTACCAGTGTCGCTAAACGTTGATAAGGTAAGCACTTGTCTTACTTGTAACCATAATGAATCTCTACTTATATTCATTGTAATTTGACAGTGGCTTGTAAGTCTATAATTATTTTCTTTTTGTAAAGGCATTTTAAAAAAAGAACATACCAGTAAATTACACTCAGGTAAAAATAAAAATCTACAAGCTACAACATGTTTTTAGAATTTTTTCATAGCATAAAGTAAATGCGGTTGTGTCAATTTTATACTTGCTTAAAAATGGTTTATAGTAACTTTCCTTGAGTCCTATATTTAGAATAGCAACTACTTCAACCACGCTGTTATTATAAAACGCATGCTTTTGTGATACAAAATATTTTCTAGGTACAATTTTACATTCTGCAATTCTGTTGATAGAAAATACGAGCTAAGACAAGTATCTACCTTTCAAGTAAGATGCATCTTAAGTCAGTATAACTTTGCTATTTGGAAGATCAAAGTTTGTACAGAATTTATGTTCTTTTTTTAACTACCTGCAAAATATAATCTTAGTGTAGGACACCACTGTTTTGTTTATTTTAGGAAAGAAACTTTCCCATCCAATGACTATCGCAACTCCTTCGTTTGCCACCCTGTAAAACAGACCGCTTTAGTAACATGATTTGGTAATTATTTGAGCACGATACTGGTCATCACGTTCTAAATATTTCTAAAAAAAGTCAGTTAAATATAACGTATCTGTTTCTCGCAGATAACGTCAACAGCTTACTTCACCTTTACCTCTTCCACCAAAAAAAGTAGTACCAATATACTGTTGTTTGGTATTCATTGATATTATGGAAGAATTACTACCCAACCTACAAATAATCTAACGTATTCATTGCCGCACAAAATAAATTATCATCATATCTACGTTGGTCCAAAGCTGGATTCTTACACCAGTGTAAAATGTACGATACTAAATCCCAATTATTTTAGCGTTCTATTTTTTATAAAGAAACCTTTCGTGTAAGGTAATATTTTTTAGGAATTTATAGTGCTACATTAACACTTAAATTACTATTAAATTTAGATGGTATAAACAATCAAATATACTGCCTTATGGAGGTGTCTTGAATAAAAATAAATCAATTTCAAATTACCTCAATTCAGATATCGGATTTAATCATTCAAGTTGGTGATCAGCAAGTAAAAGTTCCTAGTAATTGAAGTTATTATTTATCAAGTTCTGATTTAATAATCTAAAATGAAGAGATGTATTGTGATCTTATGTGGTTTAAGAAAGTAAGTAAAGTTGCGAAAAGCAATAGAAGATCATTATTACGTTGTAATACTGCAAAAAAAAAAAAAACACGCCTTAAATATACAGGGTATATGAGTCCACAATTATAAAACTTTACATTAATTTAAAATTTGATGATAATATTATAATTAACTTAAAAACTTTTTTGATGTTTTAGCAACGAATACATTAATCATAAAATATCATATCATACAATTATCTATATATTTTCTAAAATATTTGTACACCAGAATGAGTGTAAATCCGTGATTTTGGTGTTTAAAGGGTTTTTAATAACACATGAGTCACACAGTTCTTTTTCAATATCATAAATATTGCAATTTATCTGATTAATTACTCCGAAGTCTTCTTCGTAGTTTGCATAGAAAGTCAATAATTTCAACCAGTGTTTTAGTCAGTTCTTTACAATGAATATTGCAACAGGGGAAACTATAAAATTACTCAATATATGCAATAAGATAGTGAACGATATATAACCAAGTCTAATTGAATTGTTGCTTTCTAGCTATGTTTCATATCAAATAGGACATCAGTAACAAATTACTGTCAAAATTTGATAAAGTCGTCAATTCTAAGGCTACCAGTGAAAATGATCTTCTTAGTTTGACCTATATACATCAATTCAATATGTTTTAATGA